AAAAAAAATTTCTTTTTTAAAGATATCCATTTAGCTATTATTACGTCTAATAAACCTTATGACAATGTAATACCCTAATGCTGGTCTATGCCGGGACTTAAAAGTATATGAAGTACATAAATAGACGAAGAGCGGGCGTGGCAGGCAGGCAGGCAATTTCAGTTGGTCAGCAGATTTTCGCTGTTTCGCGAAGCCCCCAAAAAAAAAAAAAACAGACGTAAAGAAATAATGAGAGAGAAAGAGACAGAAAGAAGCGAAAATAAAAGTAAAGCAAGACAGCACAAAGCGCAACGGGCAGCAGAGGACATAGAGAGAAGGAATACGTTTTCCAAGATAAACGGAAACAAGCCAAGATGGAATTAATTTTCCGCTTTGAACAAACAAGCGGATGTAAATAAAAAGCGAACCAGCGAACGTTTTCTGCGTCAAAGTGAAAGCGCTGGGGTCGGGGCAGAGCAGGAAGCGCACCCAAAGGAGACCAAAGTAGACGGGCAGCCGCAATGGCTTAGACATACCTTACCGCCCTCTGCCCCACCGCGCCCCCTCCTACTGCTGCTGCTGCTGCTGGTGTTTTTGTTTTTGTTTTTCGTGAAGCTGTTTAGGCTCGCGCGTCTGCCAAGTTTTGGTCCACGGCGAGAGGCTGGCCCAAGTTATGTGCTGTTAATGACTGTACAAGAAGTTTAATTGTATGCCCAGCCTTAAGCCGAGCGAGTCGAAAGATGGGGCGATTCAGATAGGCGCGACAAGGCTGAAGAAAGGCGTGTGGTTGAGGGAAAGAGAGAGAGAGTAAGAGGATAAGACCGAGAGTAGTGGGAATAGTGGGCACACACACACACACACACACACAGACAAATGCCTATTGACAAATTGCAATTTAAATAGACAGCAATAAGTTAAACAGACGCACATGGACACATGGAACAATTGGGGGGAATATATGAGACAGACATAAAGCACGCAACGTCTAATTAGTTTGGCTGCTCAGGCGATAGATGAAGATACAGCGCTTATAGAGATGGACGATAGTTCGACTATTGCTTGCGCATTTAATTGAGCGAGAGAAAGTGGATGAATGAGGGTTAGTAAATAATATAGTGTGTATGTATGTGTGACAGAGGGGAGAGAGAGCAAATTTTGGAATAAGTAATGACGAGCCTTCATAGACGATGTATGCATTATATAAATCTATTAAAATAATATATTACAAATATATGTATATAAATATTTTAATATTTAAAAACATTAAAATATATATAAACAAAAATTAATAATAAAATAATGCTATTATTATTATTATTTGTATAAATTATTATTATTTATTATTTATTTATTTATTTATTTATTTTTTTATTATTATTATTTTTATTATTTTAACGCCCCTCGGTTATCTTAATATATTTATGAACACTTAACGATAAATTTTATAGTTCCACAATTCCATTTTCGACATCCATTCATAACTTTTGAATCGCCCCTTCAGCTGCCCAGCTCAGCCTGCGATAGTTTTAAAGTGTCATCCCTAGCTGATAAATGCATTAGGACATTATTTTTGTGGCTAACTCAGTTACATGTATATATTATATTATATTCCATTCCATTCTCTATTCCCTTCTATTCTATTCTATTCTATTCCATTCTAGCAGAGGCCAGACCTGGCATCGTTTCTCTTGCTGTTGTTGTTGTTGTTGTTGTTTGTGTAACAAATATTGATGAAACATTTACGCACATACGCACACAATTAAACACGTTTACTCACGCAGCACACACACACACACACCACATGCATACATAGAGAGAGTGATGAGCACACACATACACGCAGACTGATAGACATGTATACATACATACATACACATATAAGTAGTAATTGATGGGTTTCCTTTTATAACAACATCAATCATACGCACTGTGCTGCCCAGGTCAAATAATACATTTGTACGATTGTATATATGCATAAGAATGCGTGTGTGCGTGTGTGTATATAGCATTTGGAATGTATTTATTTGGCAAAGCATCTTCGCACTATATCAAATATACATATATATATATCAAAATATAACTATATACATATGTATATATCTATCTGCATGTGTGTTAAGCTACTATCTAATCCAATCACGCCTAGGCATTCTTTTTACTGTTGCTTGATTGTTGTCGCTGTTGCTGCTGTTGCTGCTGCCGTTGTTGTTGTTGCTGTTGTGGTCAGATTCTGTCGCTTTATGTAGCACAGTATGTTTACCCAAATCATGCCGCATATGCCCATATAGATGATACGAAATCGTGGCGCTATAAACATAAAATTCAATGCTTGTGCCGGCAGCCAGAAGATGCAAGATCGAAAAAATGTAGGCACGAATTTTTCACGCAACTCCGCAAAGGGGTCCTCGGCGCCCTCCATCAGAGACATGCCTAGAATGAGAATGAGTAAAGAGAGAGGGAGATGCATGTAAACTCAACAGTATTGCTAAAAGAGTTCTGTTTCTTACCCGTATAAAATAATGTCAGACAATAGGGTGTCAATACAAACTGGTCCAGTACCAATTTCTTGATAATAGTTGTTTTCAGTGTACCTGGAAAGGTGCCATCCAGCCATTTGTACCTAAGATAGACACAAATAACACTAATTATTAAAACGCAAGCGAAACACTGAGGGAATATTATATACAGTGTGAAATGACAAGCAATTATGTTAATAGAGTGCTCTGTTTAAGTGTTACTTTGTACCGTATATACATATGCATAAACTGTATATACATATACATATATTCGTGAACTTCGGCGCGTTGTGTTTCATTTTGTTTGTAGTATGTCTGTGTGTGTGTGTGTGGCTTTTATCCGACACTTACATATCTGGTGGATTAACGTGCACATATGCCTCGTTTGATGGTGCGTAGCGTGCTTGCTTGGAGCTTTATGCACAAAAGCTTTGCGCTCTTGCCGGTGCTGCTTAAGAGAGAAAGAATGAGAGTGATACAAAAAGAACACAGAGAGAGCAACTGTGTGAGAGAGAGTGCGTATGTGTGTGCGTTCTTCGACGTCCATACACGTGCTGGACGAAATGTAAATTGTAAACAAATTGATAAAAGAAGTGACAAACAAAAACATGCGACATTTACCGTTGCAAGAATGAATGAGTATATAAGTATGCGTGTGTGTCAATTAAGATGCCCATACCCATACACATGTGTTAATATTATTATGCTATGCGAGTGTGTGTGTGTGTTTAGTTATATATCTATTTATTTGTGGAGTGAGGCGCACGAACCAAGCGTATAGCGATGGGGCATAGAGTGTGGTACCCATTACAGCATAGCGTCCTACAGTTGCATAATCGATATCCTCACGCTGCTCCGGCTGCTGCAAGACACATGAACACGTAAATCAAATTAGCCCCTGCTACTGCAATTAATTGCACTTATTCATATGCATGCATACATATGTATGTATATGCATTGCCACTTACCGCCAGCCAGCGCTTGGAGACATATTGCTGTGAGAACTCGGCAGCCACATAGAGGCTGCCGTAGATGGCGCTGTTGGTTACGAAGGGATGGCGTCTGAATGCGCTTCGGGCGCTGGCAATGAGGCGTGACATTGTCTGGACAAATAATGGAAGCACCACAGCAACAGCAACAACAGCAGCAGCAGCAGCAACAACAAGTTCAAGTTTTGATTTATATATATTTAATTAACAATTACAATTGTGTGTGCCTTGCCCTTGCAAGAGAGACAGCTGCCAGCGCCGTCAAAGCTTCGCAACAGAATGAAGCTCGCTGCTTCGGCTCAGCTGTTACAAAAGCTACGCCAACTGAAGAGAGCGCACCAACTTAGCTCGGCTTATCAGCATAATGACGTGAGAGCAAGTGAGCGCGAGAGAGCGCAATTTGGATAAACGATTTTCCGGTTGTGTTTGATGAGCTTTATTTGTGCGCTACAGCTGCAGCATAAATGAAATCTATATCTACATAGATCCAATAAATGAAAATTAAGTTTTGCGAACATTATTTACTACGCTTTGAGCTCACTTTTTTACTGTAGCTATAAAATAATAGTTACAGGGCGAGCAAATATTTTACTATCTGTGCATATGTTTCCACTAGAGATAAGATTTGTTCATTAAAACTGTCATTTATTTATGAAGAGTGTTCATTAAACTAAACGGTTCCTCATATGGCAACAGAAGCGTATAAATGGGAAACACCTGAACAAGAGATAAGCCAGATAAAAGTAAAAGATTATTACGGGAGGCCTAAGATAATTTTGCAGGTGTAAAGAGTAGAGGCTTAATATATGATAATATAAAAATATGTGATCTTTTTAATTTAATACGAAATTGATTAGAAACCAATCTTAAATTAAGATTAAATAATCCTTATCTCCCATACAAACCCGCTCCTTTGATCAGAAACTTCATCAATCAGCACGTCGACGTCTTGCCTTTACCATTTCAATAAAGGACACACACAAAAAACTTTTAACCATAAAAATGCAATAAGTGTACTTACTAACTGTACCAGAACAGTCTACCCTATTCTGCCAACGACTTACCCTTTGCCTTTGCCTTGTGCTAACGGCAATTCACGCACGACTAACAAGCGACTGCAGCAAAACTTTGATTGAGTGCCAAAGGGAACTGTTTGTTGGGTGAGAGGTGCTAAAAACTGAAACCAATTTAAAAAGTTGGCCTAACCATATGGAGAGAGAGGCAGAGGGAGGCGGAGTGGAAGCAGAGAGAAGCGAAGTCTTGGTTAGCAATGCAAACAACAAGAACAGAAAAGCAAGCGGCGACAACGCAGTCAAAGCTAACAGCACAACACAACAACAACAACAACAAACTACTAAACAAGTCGACTAAATATACCAACAGCAACAACAACAACTAATTTGCACACACGTCAAACACTCGAACACTTCACATAGCAGAAATGAACTTTGGTGCATTGGCCAGAAGTCTCAGCCACAGTCTAAGAGTCAGCCTGGGCTCCAAGAAGCGGCTCAGTAAGGCGCCCACAGAGAACGACGTCTTTGAGGTATCGACGCCGTCAGTGAGCAACAGCAGCGATTCCAAAGAAGAGGAACAACTGAAAAGGGAACATCTCAACCAGACCGTCGATCAGCTCAATGAGAGACGACAGCCGTATAGGGAAACAGTTGAGCTAATACTCGATAAGGTGAGCGAGTTGGAGCACACATTGTATGAGGATCAACAGCAGGAGTTCAAGCTGCGCATGGCCTTGGAGCGTCAGACGGAGCGCATACACGAGCTCCACTTCTCGCTGGACACCGAAAAGCAGCGCAATGAGCGACTGGTGCAGCTGCTGCGCGGCGTCGACTCCGACTCCTGCAGCGAAAGTGAGCCGGAATCACAGCTACTGAGCGGCATACGGATTGACTCCAAGGGCGAACTCTATGGCTCAATAAGTCCAATACTAATGCAACAACGGTAAGGAGTACCTAGTTGAAGACCCTGCCAATCCTCTGACATCTCATCTACTATAATGAAAACTCATCTCTTTGCAGCTACGATGAGCTGCATTCGTCGTATCGTCAAGCCCATCGGCTGCTGGCCAAAAAGGATAAAACCATTAAGATGCTCAGATGCGATTTGGAGGTGTTGCGCGGCAAATACGATTCCATATGCTCGGATTATCGCAACGAGCATCGACGTTTGAATGCACTATACACACGCTATATGCACCTGCAGCAGAAGAAGAAGCAGCAGGTTTTCATACTCAAGGAGACGTTGGGCTATGCCAGCGATTGTATTCTGTATGCTCAACAGACCATTGATGGCTGCTCTAGAGGATTTCCCATCGATCCGCAGAATTTGCATAATTTCAATCAGAATTTTGAGTTCTTTATGCGTTCGCTGCGCAGCTGTTGCTGTCGTCGCCGCTTGCTGGAGCTGCAACAGGAGCAGGGAGTCCAATTGGAGCAGCTGCAGCAAGAACAGGAACGACAACAAGAGGAAGAGCAGGAACAGGAGTTGTCCAACCAAGAGACAAAGACCAGTTTGCAATCGCAGTTGGAGCAGCCGAAGCAAAAGCGTCGTAGCCATCGAAAACGTGAAAAGCATTGAAAATGATTAGGAATTTCGCAGTTAGTTTCTTAGTTTTCATATTTATCTTAAATGTTCTAGGAAATCTTGTAGAAAACTTAAAAAAATAGTTTAGTTAGCAAGAAAATGTAAAACAATAAAAATATATAAAATTGTAAACGTAAACAGAATATTTTTAGTGGACATAAAAACTGAGAGGAGCTCAGTGATCGTTGTGTTGCTCATCAGAATGGATCAACACTGAAAAAAAGGGGGAGCAAAAATTTTGGAGCTATATTATACTATCGAAGCGGAAATGTCGTCAATCAATAAAAAATCCCAAAAAGGGTCCACTTTTCGAGTTACGGCTGGGGAAAAATCTCGTTCAACCCATCGCGGGTCAGCGGGAGATAAAAAGGCCGATGGCAGTAGCTCAGAACCATCAACTATGCCGGTTTCAGTGCTGAATGAGTCCGATTCCGATTCGGAGAGGCATTCGGAAGCACAGCCGGCTACAGATGTTACCATTTATAATGCTTACGATATGGGACCCGCTTTCGGCTGCAAGTTCCCAGTGCCATTTATACGATTTATGGTTGAGCGTGTCATGAGTGAAAAACTAAAAGGTAGGTGTGAAGCAAGCATTAATTTGAAACAAACAATTAAATTTTACCTTAAATACTCCGCTAGGTAAAGTCTATCAAATGGACACTGCCGCTAAGCTGACGCGTGATGTAGCAGATGGTGTGAATCTGAAAATGAAAGGATTCTGTCTGCAACACCGTTACAAGCACGTGGTGAATGTCTGTTTATATCAGCAGACAGGTGCTGGTTTCTTCTATGGCTTCCGTGCAGTATGGGATACGCTTTCCGATGATTATATTAGTATGTCCATTGATGTGGGCTCCTTCATTTGCATTGTCTCTGTGTTTGGGTGTTATCAGTATTGAATTAAACTACGCACAGCATTAACACCTGTTGCATTATTCAAATTTGTTTGCCTGCGCGCGGAATAACAGCTGTGGCAAAGTATATCGATATACGGTGCGCAAACTAACAGCTTAACAGCTGTAAATTGTCCACAATGCTTATCGATATATCGTTTTATTTTATGCCCATATCTAAATAAAAGCGCACATGTTTTGATGTTTTGTTGCTACTTGTTAAATAAATAAAGTATTGACTGAATTCTATTGATGCGAATCACAAAATGAAAGTGAAAATGATAAGTCGCAACCCGGACAACTATGTCCGGGAAACCAAACTGCAGCAACATAAAGTTCCACGTAATTACGATCCGGCTCTGCATCCCCTGGAGGGTCCTCGGGAATATGTGCGCGCCCTGAATGCCACCAAATTGGATCGTGTGTTTGCCAAGCCGTTCCTTTGCAACTTGAGCGGTCATCGCGATGGCGTCGCTTGCTTTGGCAAGCACCCCAAGCTGCTGTCCACGCTGGCCACCGGCGCTTACGACGGTGAGGTTCGCATTTGGGATCTGGCCAATCGCACCAGCCAGCGCAGTTTTGTGGCCCACGATGGCTTTGTACGTGGCATTGCGTATGCACGGAATGGCGAACGTTTGTTCACAGTGGGCGATGACAAGACGATCAAAGTGTGGAATACCGTGGCACCAGATGTAGGCGAGGAGGAGGAGCCCGTTAATACAATATTGAGCCGTCACATATTGCATGGCATTTCGCACAATCGCTTGGACAATAGCTTCGCCACCTGCGGTGAAGTCTGCGCCATTTGGGATGAACAGCATAACGATCCCATCAAGACTCTGAAATGGGGCGTCGACACGCTGCACACCATTTCCTACAATCCGGTGGAGACAAATGTGCTTGCATGCTGTGCCAGCGACCGCAGCATCATTTTGTACGACCAACGTGAGGCGCAGCCGCTGCGCAAAGTTGTCCTGACCATGAAGAGCAACAAACTCGCCTGGAATCCCATGGAGGCTTTCAACTTTACCGTGGCCAATGAGGATTGCAAGTAAGCTGAATCAATTACTAGGTAGGAATATATAACTAAAAATCGCCTTTTCAGTCTCTACAGTTTTGATACGCGTAAACTGCAGACGCCTCTTAAGGTGCACTTCGATCACGTCTCTGCTGTCACGGATGTGGACTACGCACCCACGGGCAAGGAGTTTGTTTCGGGTAGTTACGATAAGACTGTACGCCTCTATAATGCACATCAAAGCCACTCCCGTGACATTTATCACACCAAGCGAATGCAGCATGTGGTCTGTGTTGCCTGGTCACTGGACAATCGCTACATTTTCTCCGGCTCGGATGAAATGAATGTGCGCATGTGGAAGGCGAATGCGTCAGAGAAACTGGGCGTCATACGTCCCCGTGAGCGTGCCAACTTCAACTACCAAGAGGCACTAAAGGAGAAGTATGCAGCTCATCCACAAATCAAACGCATTGCACGTCATCGACAGGTGCCGCGTCATGTGATGAATGCACAGCGGAAGATGCGCGCGGTCAAGGAGAAGGAGTTGGTCAAAGAGGCCAATATACGCAAGCACTCGAAGAAGGGCAAGGTGCCCTTTGTCAGTGAGAAGAAAAAGCATGTCCTTCGCGAAGATGTTTAATAATTTAAGACATTTTAGTTTTAGCGTACAATATATAAATATACAATTCAAATTGCTACACACAATCGATAAATGCCTCTAGTGCCCGCGATACCGATGCCACCATACGATTATTTAGCTCATTTGTGCTTATAAAAGGTTGCCATCTCCAGCCTTGAATGTCAGTTGTAGAGTCAGTTGTTACGGCAGCGGCAGTCCGTTTTGTTTGGTCGTTAGATTTTTGTTTCGTTTTGATTATTTCGCACATTTGTTTATAAACCTGCCCCAGCCAGTGCCTGCGCGTAGAACAAGTTTTCTTTAGAACATAAACACACAGCTGCGTGAAGCAAAATGGATGCACTTAGTGACTTATTGGCACCGCACAGTGAAACCATCGGTAAAATAGCCGGCACAATAACTACACTACAGTTTCTATCCGGCATAGCGCTTTTAAATGATATACGGAAAAAGGGCAGCAGCGATATTTATCCCATTGGACCATTTCTAGGCGGTATAGTGCTGTAAGTGCTATAAATTTCAACAAACTATAAACAAAATAGTGCGATTTCACGCTCAACTGCACACAAACACATACAGAAACTAACACTAGTACACTAAAATAGATAGAAAAAAGTAACAATTGCAGCTGTGTGTAATTGATTAAATTTTTTGAATTGTCGCCATGACGGTGCCAAATGGGTTAGAGAACGAGTGCCATATGTGAGAGGTGGGTGTAGCCTAGTTCAAGGCTATATCGAAAGGCTGCTTATATGTATGTATGTATGTAACTCGATTGATCGGTCAATGACAATTGACGGTTACATAAAATAAACTCTTTTTGTTTCCCAATTAGCATTCTATGACATTTTGAAACAATTCTCTAGTTGGACACATGAAAAGTTCTTATCGCTTTAAGGCTACACCACGTACATCTTATCTACAAATACATAAGTGTAATATATAGGCGCTTCTTAATATGCGATAGACGGCACTTGGGAGAGTCGTCTCTGATTGTCTAAAGCTTCCAGCTTAGCTAATCAGTGAGCTGGACAAGCCCAGTTGGTCGCTAATGTTGACCTCGCCCACTCCACGTGCTGTTTTTCCTTAATGGAATTGAAAATGCAAATGCGAAATGGGGCCAAGTGCCAAGCAACACGCGACAATTTCCACTAGATGCAACAGTTGCGTGTTCCTATTCAACTACCTGAGTTGTATTTTTTGTTAGAGGGGGTGGATAGGTAGGCATACAAAGTGCCCTTATAACTCGAGCCTTTCGTAAAGCTACGTGTTGAGCCTTCTATGTTGAAACTATAAAGATTTAATGATTTTAATAAAGAGGTTTTTTTAGTTTTTATAGCATGCCCATATAATGTTAATAATGTACAGTTTAACCTCACTAAGCTAAATGCATAGATCTTAATTTGAATACTATTTAGAGTATCGAAATAAAAGATTTGTTATATTATAAATACATATTTGGGATTGAAAGTAAAAAACAAAATAAATGGAAACACGTATAGCTTTAGTTCTTATGACTTCAGAATATCTTATCTATAAAATACCACATTCAAGTTCAATAATTACCTAAACCCAACATAGATTATTGTTGTGAAATTCTAATGGGACTACTGAACTTATAGATAACTATATAAACATATTCATATGTAAATTATAGCCATTTAGATTGTTAAATATATCTATCATACAGTATACATAGATTTCTACAGTGATATTCCTTCTTTGATCCTCTCACCCATAGAACCGTGTTAAGCTTAAAACTGGGTCAGATTATGGGCGATCAGCCCATGATCAATGTGAATGTCATCGGCTTTGCGATCAACTCGATATTCCTGGTTGGCTTTTATTACTATGCCTCGAGCGAGAGTAAATCCAAGATCTGGATCAAGATTGGTTATGCCGCACTGTTCCTGATGGCCTGCATAGCCTATGCCAACTTCGAGGATCCCAAGCAAATTGAGTTCCGTCTGGGCATGTTGATCACATCGATACTCGTCTGGCTAGTTGGCTCGCCGCTGCTCAACTTGCCCGACATCATCAAGAAGAAGAGCACGGAGGGCATGCCCTTTCCCATCATCTTTGCCGGACAGCTGGTTGCTACTGCCTGGACCTTGTATGCAGTGTCCATACGCAATCATGTCATGGTGGTAAGTGCCCTGACCTACTTGATAGACTTCCAAGATAACTCTTTAAGCCTTCATACCTATTCTAATTTTGTAGTATCAGAATTTGTTCCTGTGGGTCTTGGGTGGCATCCAGCTGGTCATGTTTGTGATATATCCCAGCACACCTGCCAAGAAGCCCGCTGCCAAGTCCGAGAAGAAAAAGGAGAAATAAATAACTCAACTACAAGTACCTAAATGAAATGAATTAAGAAAGGCATGGAAATCAATTGGCGTCCCTAACATCATCTAGAACTTTCGACTTATCTAATTAATCCAGTTTCGAACTCAAACGCTTCTAGTACAATTTTGACTAAGCAATAATCAAGCAGGGTTCCATATAATAATAATAATTAGCTAAGCTTCTCCTCAACAAATTCAAATTTTGTACATATTCGATTTCTGATTACGTTTTGTATTAATTATGATTATAAGCTATAAACAAGTGGATCAGAATTTACATACATATATATAGAAAGAGAATTATATTTGAAATGCCTATTAATCTTCGTGTAAACTAATTTTATGGTTATTTTTAAATAAATAACATTTGTACAAAACTATGAAACTATTTGCAAATTTTGACAATAATTCAAATCTTCCAAATGCATATTTATAAATAGTATATATCAATATATACATACGTCTATATATATAGTAATATCAAGATATTAATTCAATAAACCATAAACATGTTGCGATTAATTTCAATTTTGTTTAATTTGGATGCTTAACTCTTAATGCTACTCCTCCTCCACTGGAATCGTGGAGTTGTAATGGGCGCCTAGTTGGTAAATATGGCGATGATAGCAAACGACTAGCGGCGCTCCGCCGAACTCCTCCTGGCCCAGCTGCGTCGATGGGCCCTCGGCTTGGATGACCTCAATGGGCACGCGCAGCAGCGAGGAGAGCGCCTTTAGCTCGATGTGCCCGCCCCAAGCATGAGTGTTGGCTATGTCCTGGCAGTAGGCTTCGAACTGCGCGTCAGTGAGAAGATCCCCTGTATCCGGATGGGTCATATAGCATATGAGATCATCTTTGTGGGCGCGCACATAGTTGGCCGTTTCGGTTCGCAGTTCCTGGACACTGTGCTCGGGCAAGGCGTGCTGCCGCAGCTGATGGCGTATCGCATTGTAGAGACAATCGCCATCTGAGGGTATCATGTGGAGCGCCAGCTGGCGATCTTGCAACTTAGCTGTGATTTGCTGCAATTCAATTTGCTTGGGCGACAACACGTTCGCGGCGTCTTGCATTGCCTGGTGTATTTCCTGCGCTCGATCGCGTGCCTCTTTCTCCTTTTTGTTGCGACGCTTTTGAGCCTTGGACACACGCTGTTGTGCTGGCTGGACTACATCCTCCTCCTCGTTGCCGCTGTCCGCCGCTGGCAATTTTTCAACTGCTGGCTCGTTGGCAGCTGGAGCTGCTGCTGCTGCTGCAGTGGCGTCTTGAAGTTCCGTCTTTTGACGCTGCTCCAGCTCTCCTTCCAGGCGGGCCATCTCCTCAAGAAACTCTTTGCGTTTGCTTTTATTGTTTTTTGGTGCATTTTTCTTCATGGCCTGCAGCTTGGCTTGCAGCTCCTTGCGCTCCCGACGATGGCGACTAGCCACATCCTCTAGTGTGGCCTCGCCCAGTCGAGCCTCCAATTCACTAATTGCTTCGCACGACATTTTCTTTAAATTTCAATAAAATATGTAGAAATATTTGTGAGCGGTGACGTTCAGCTGTTCTCCTAACGATGACACAAAATGCTCAATGTTAACGCAATATTGCTCATCGTAGCGCAGCGCTGTGACGTAATAGAAGCACCACTGTTAACGCATAACCACTAACCAGAGAGCACATAGACCGGACACGTAGTGTAAAGTGTTTTGCACA